TTCTAATTGTAGTGAAGATTCATCCCAAGGACAACATGGCGCGTCACGAAGTCGAACTCAAAATAGACAATTTGAATGTAGAAGATTTACTCGATGATCACAGGTTCATACATTTTTGGAGTTTTTTTTATATTAACAAGTAACATAACAGCTGTACATTTGTATTTAATTAGTTTAAAATAAAATAAGCAATGAATTACCTTCCCTAATACCTACGCATTCTGTGGAAGGCATTGGGAAAGATCTATGTCCAGCAGTGGGCAGACAAAGGCTGATGATGCTGAAACAATGAATATGTAATAACTAGCTTTCGCCCGCGACTCTGTCAGCGTGAAATTAAAAAAAACAAAAGTGAGTAGCCTATGTGTTCTTCCAGACTATCCTCTACATCTATACCAATTTTCATCGAAATCTGTCCAGCCGTTTAGGCTACAAATTCTAACAAAAATCCATCTAAACTTTCGCATTTATAATATTAGTATGATTTTAATGTAACTACAAAACTAAAATTATACCAAGCCTGGTTTCAAATTCATTAGAGTGGTAGTTACCGTCTACCCACGAAGAGACCACGCGACTGAACGACTAGTTGCCATGGTAAAGCTTATTTTATTTTCCAGAATGACCCGCCTCAAAGATATCTTAAGAATGAAGTTATGGACAGAAAGCAAAGAGGATCTGTATCCAACTTTCCTCTCATCAGCTATAGACCTAGGAGCCCGGCTGCCTTTGAAGCCTAGTGATGGGGAGGGGTGAGTTGTTTCGGATTTTATCGATAGATTTGACTAATAACTGTTTAAGCTTTCTACATACCTTTAACTAATCAATGGGACTGTTAAAACTGAAAATCGATCGTATTTATGGATTTTAAGTCAGTTACACACACTATTTTAACCGATCAGTCGGATCTTTCAGATATATCTAACGTGTGTAGGCAATTAAGAACTGTACAGTTGTCAGTTTTGTTATTTATTTAAAAGATCTAACTGTTCAAACTGAAAGTGTGTAGCGGGCTTTAGTAACATCTCCATAACACACATATGAGACAATACTGGGGAAATCTTCACTACACGTATTCTATTAACTAAAAATAAAAAAATAAAAAAAAAATAAAAAACACTTTATTGATAAGATCAGTTTAACATAATGAATGGGCTCTGCCTCCTGAGCTAGGTGGGGACCTGTATTACAGGAGGCAGTGCCTTCTCTTAGTCTAGGTACATATCTCATCAAATACATGTGTGTGTGTGTGCGTGCGTGTGTGTGGGTGTGTGTGTGTGAGTGTGTGTGTGTGGAGAGTGAAAGAGTTTTTATGCTTGTTTTATTTTGGTATTTCTAAGAGGAGGAACTGAATGAACTGAATAAAAACGTATTCAAATTTTTACGAAGTTTGAAAGTAGCCCCAGTGGTAGAGAAATTAAGGAGTTAAAGGTTAGCATGGGCATGTGAGGAGGGATGAATCGCATGTAACAAGGAGAATGTTATTTATGAGTGTGGAGGTATACTGGTAGAGGCAGACGTAGAAAGAGATGGATGTATAGCGTGAAAGGTGACATGGTCTAGAAGGGAGTGATGACAGATGACAGATGACAGAGTTATTTGGAGGACGAAAGCATGCACCGATCCTATGCACAGAGTACTTTGTAACATACTGAAATAGGGACCAATCTTCGGCCTAAAATTGGGTAACACGAAGAAAAGCGCCATCTGTATTTCATAGTTTACAACTTTCTTTCTTTCTTGTTTTGTTTT